AAAATAAAATAAAATAAAATAAAAAATTGCATTTATACTGAACACTGAAACCTGAACATGGATACAAGAGCCTGCATGTTGTTTTGGATTTCTGTAAAACAATGAGCCACTTACACCATGCCTCTTCCCAGAGCAAAGCACATCCTTGTGGTTCTTTCACTCTACAAGATGATTTATAGCAGTGTTGACACAAACAATGCCTTTGGATTTAATGTGTTAGGACCCACAGTAGCAGCCGAGTGGCATTATGGCTACAGTGCAGAATGGCAAATAGGCATGTTGTCCTTGGACCAGATATTCAGGGTGTAAGTCCCCATGTTGTCAGCCATCCACCATGCTGAAGCCTCCAACAGCCAGACACTGAGTCACTCCAAGCTCCAGGGGGGCTGCTGTATAGCTGAGTTGCCTGATTTCCCAGCAGAGACAGAAGTTTACCTTCCAAAGCATCGCTTAGTTTCACTGGAAATATACCAGATGTGAATCTTAAATTTGCCTCCTTGTTAAGATGAGTCATAACACACGCAGATTGCAAACCCAGCCTTCAAGTTCACGGTTGGTTTTAAGTGACAGAAATAGAACACAAGTGTCTGGAGGAAAAAGAAACACCTGAGGAAAAGACCATTAATTGGTCAAATATGCATAATATAATCGAACACAACTGCAACTCAAACTATTTCGAGTATAGCTGTGGTGTGGAAATTTCACTAGCTGTGTATCTTCCTCCCTCTGCATTCACAGTGTCATGCCTTAAGTCTTCCTTTCTGTGTCATTATCCTAACCCGTGTTGAAAGTTCTTTGCTGGTTTTCTTATCAAAGTATGGTTATTCTTCTAGTTGATACTTGATTTGTATTGCACAGGACAAACGTTGCAGTAGCAAGGATGAAGGCACATTGAAGGATTACTGGGTTGATTTACTTTGAATCTGTCACCAATCTGAAGGGATATCCCAGCCAGAGGTAAGACACAACTGATGGTCATCTAAGATTATCCCCTAGTGTGAGAGGTTTACAAATTAACTCTTCACCTCTCCGATCAATGAGCAGACATGGCTGTCTTGATAATGTCAAATTTGATATATTGCTACTCGCCATTACACATTGCATATACTTAGTTGGCACGGGTCGTGAAAAGGCAACTTTATTTTATTGTGTGCCACCACAGTGAAGGTTATGAAAATGAGACAAAATAATGTATGAGTTTAAAATCTGTTCTGACTTTAACATCCTCAGGTTTAATCAGCCCATCTTATTAAGTTTTTTCATTCCCTCTTATGCTCTGTTTGTTTCCTGCTTTTCTCCCTCCCTCTTCTCTATTTGTTCTTTCGTCTCCCACACCTTTTCCCCTTCTACTGTTGCTCAGTCTCAGCTCTTTCTTAACTTCCCTTCACTTTTTACCAATAGCTGCCCTTACCACTCAGTGAACTAAAGAAATGATCATTTGTGCTGAAAAGGCTAGACAACTTTGCAGTATAGCATGAACCTGCTCTCACTGCTGTCCTGTGTTAGGTCCTCTTTCCTCTTTTTCCTCTTTCTTTCACATCCTCGTGTGCACCTCTTTCCTCCCCTCTCTTTCAGCCAAAATCAGCAGTTATCATCACAGTGTCAATAAATGAAGTATGCCCCCCCATAATTGTGATTGCAAATTAAAACCCAAAAGTGTGTGTGCGCGTTTATAGCCACATATGTGTGGATAATAGTGGTATTTTAAAATGTGGCTTTGTGTCAGTGCACACCCACAAAATGTCTCTGCTCCTAGTTTATCTCATTGTTTGAACAGCGCTGCTTTAATTAGGACAGGCCTGTCTATCTGTGTGTGTGTGTGTGTGTGTGTGTGTGTGTGTTTGTGTGCGTTTGAGAGAGAGAGAGAGCGAGAGAGCAAGACCAAGGCTGTGCCTAAAAGTGAGTCACAGAGTCTTTATGTGTGTGTGCATGTTCCCATAGTGCCCCCATGTGGAGGATTGCAAAGAAATATATATTCTATAGTCTGGTTTCTTAGCACACATACACAGACACACACACTCGTACACTCCAATGACACGGTGTTATATTTGGAAACACAATTTCATGCTATCAGTACTGGCTAGCTATTCCATTTAGATAGCAGCCATCTATATATAAATTTGTGTGTGTGTGTGTGTGTGTGTGTTATATATTTGTGTGTTTAAGTGTGTTTGTGATCAGGTTGTGTGTCTATGCATATTGCATTTCTGTGAGTGCACAGCTCACCCGTGTGTCTTGCAGAGACGAGTCATTTTCCAAGTTTATTGAAATTAAAAAGTGGTTGCCATGGCAACATTTGGATTCTCTGTAATTATGTTGATTAAAAATGTGAAAATTAATTAAAAAGTCAGGAAAATGATCTCACAGCAGATGATCAGCAAAACATCAAAATGATTCAGATCTGTCTCTCTCCCTTCCTCCTGCTCTCTCTGATACACTCAAGCCTTCCCTTCCTGTCTCCCTCTGTCGCACTTCAGAAGTCCTTTATTGCCACACAACACTGAATTATCTGTATTCATTGCTCACACAAGCTTGTCTCCTTTCCTTTCACACTTACTGTATATAAACACTTTATGGCATGATGAAGTTTGTCTTCATGTCCAAAGGGATAAAAAAAAACAAAGCAAAACACAACAGCACGGAAAATAAGACAAACTGCACCGCCTCTACCCCCTCCCCCCTCATCCAATCACTCAGCTCATTCACAAGTTTTTAACAAGCATGACAAGACTCGTCTCATGCTGCCAAAGCAGACGCATCAGCAACAAAAGTAACACTCAAAATGAGGAACCTAACAGTCTCAGTTTCTCTCTTCCAGCCTTCTCCATTACTCAGTTCTCTCACAACCCGTCTCTTGTTCTCCTCTGACAGAATGAATAAACAGGCTAGCAAAGTGTAATCGCTTTCTTTTATTAGCAACAGCAAACACAGAAACAATGACTTTACCCTGCGCCCCTCCCTCCCTCTTCTCCGTCTGCTCCTCTCATCAGCTTTAATGAACCACAAATCTCATCAGCCATCCTTTCATCAGCTTGGCCATCACAACTTCCTGCACTTGGGCTCAAGTCTTTAAACCTGACTACTTATAGCATGTCTGTTTCTGCTCCTGGCTGATGACCAGGAGGACTGAACATATTTGGCTGCAAGGCAGAATGCATATCTTCTGCTACCAGAGTTAATATTAGGTAAAATTTGGTAATGACGGTTTGAGAGGCAGCAGCGTTAGTATGACAGCTTCGCTTCACAGCTCTGGTTTACTTAGTGGTGATTCACTGCCAGTTAATCTTCAGCGTGTTCACCATGGTGATCTTAAGGAGGATGGTGTTATACATTTGCAGTCATCAGTTGACCGTGTTGTTGAGGTGGCAGTATAATGACTACTTTGTACAGCCTGACCTATTTCTCTCTGTCCCTTTTTTCTTCGTGAAAGGTGCGTGTCTGTGGGGTTTTTTTTCTCCCTTTAAACAACATAAAATGAACACTGATCTTGTGAGCTGTGATACTAAGCCTGTGTTGTTTTTGTGCATTTAAATATGTAAATGACTGTGAGACTGAGCCAAACCACTGATCATATTCAGAAAAATATAGACAAGAAGGGCCCACCTCTCTCCACTGGCTCATAATGAAACTTGCCTCAGCCCCATAATCAAAGGCAAATGAGAGTGGTGTGTATGTGATTATACCAAGAACATCTGGTGCTGAACATCATCAAAAATGCAGGTAATAGTCAGAAGGTTAGTGATGTGAGGGCATGTCAAAGCTAGTGGCCCTAGCAACTTTGTAACATAACACAGCATTTTTTAAAACTATGTTTAGAGTAATCCTTGATGGAGCAGACCATCTCTCTGGTCTACTTGAAATATTCAGTGACACAGATAAGAATTTAAAGAGAAAACTCTTAAATTCTACAGTGAGTTTAAGAGTTACCATGGTTTTGGTATGCTGTGGGGGTATTTTGGTGGCATGACAACAAAGATGGATGGGTCACTTGGTTACGGGGGACAAAACCCACATCCATAGGGCATGAAATTAATGTTTACTGGTCTCCTTTGGGATTTGTACTTACTAGACTTTAACCCAATTTAATACCTATGGAAAAGTTTTGACTAACATGTTAAACTCCCCCTAACTATGATAAATATGAAATATTGTGCCAAGGTGCATCGAAGCTTCAAGTCAGTTAACTTTGGGCAATGTTCCTGTAATTTGCAAGCCATTTAATATTTAATATTTGATTATACTGCATGCGGTGTCATTTGTACACTTCAAGAATGAATTTAAAACACATTTCACTCTTTCTTCAGAAAGTTTTATTCAATTTGTAGCTTTATTCGAGTTCATTTCAATTAATTTCTAATTTCCTCATGTTTAGATAGTGCCTAGCTTTTTATTATTCTAGTATAATTTTGCTGATTTTATACAATGATTTCACATTGAAACTGTTTTTTGCTTTCCATCACAATTGCAAGATTTATTTCACATGTCAGGGTTTTCTTGACGCTCTAATTTAATGCAAAGAGTATTAGCTCCATTTCAATCCAGATAGAGAACACCAATAAAGGCTTCTCAGCTATGTGTGTTCTAATTGTGCACCAGTGATTGCGTTTCTTCTGCCTTGCTTTTCACTTCCTCCGACTTGGAGTAGGACTCTTCATCCCTCTTCCCAGTGCTGCCTTAGGAGCGGCAGGGCTAGGAGTTGAAGGGGCAGCGCTCGGAGCAGGCTGTGGCTTAGGCTGAGGGATCTCAATTGGTAATTTAGGTGGGATGATTGTTTTAGGGGTCAGAGTTGGTTTTGCCTCAGGGATTTTCTCCCCATGGCGATACACACTGACCTGGAGATAAAAATAGCGAGACAAGGACATAATGTTAATACCCATACATGCATTTACTACAGCGGTGAACACAAAAGGATTGTTTAAAGGGCTGCAGCACATTGCATCATCAATAGAAATTATTTAGGTATTTTTAATTTTAGAGAAATTTGGATTTTGTATTATTTTATATTAATTCTGTCAAAATCAGGGTGAGCAAAAGTAACAAGGTCAAATATCAGGCCCGTGTAAGGTTTTTGTGCTGCTGCGATCAAAATATATCCCCATGTTGGGCACCAATGGAAAAAAAAATATTTCTGCTCAGAGTAAATCCAGTCATTTGTGTTACACAGCGGCAACACTCACCACTATATCCACAGACTCTCCTCCATATTTATTCTGGACAATCATGGTATATCTGCCAGAATCCTCCATGGAAACGCCTTTGATTGTCAGACTGGCAAACTTGCCCTGGTCCAGGGAGACCACATACTGGGAAATGAATTCAGAGGTTAAAAAAAGTGAGAAAGCCAGTGGAGGGAGTTTAGCATGATTTATTCTTTAAAATGCCTTACTCAAAGTGGCAGCATGAGCAAAAGCTGAGCACTGGTGCATGGGCTGAATGGACAAAGGGACTAATGATGTATTCCTGTCTTATCTGTTCTGCTGCACTCAACCACGCTCAACCAAAGTATGGTGAAATTGAAAAGCAATACAAATGTGCCCCATCTATATTTTTTAGACCACCCAAAAAAAACCCCTACTGTATATTGTCTCTGATACTCTAGTCTACACAGAGTACTTTATTCTGAATTGTACCATGTACTACGAGTGGTGCAGACAAGAGCCCAACATTTTAAATTGCCTCTTGTACCTGCCCACTCACTTGTAAGGTCTGGACATTTATACATTTTATGGAGTGGTACTTTCAGCAGGTTAATTACATTATTAAGAGAAACACTTGCCCTTTAATTACAAGAAATAAAACGGTCTATTAGATTAAAATCCTAAAAACGGTAGCCATTAGCATGCTATGTGTTCTTGGTTAAATGCATTAATTTACTAGAGCAATGTAGGTTAAGCTGTGTATTATTCAGAAAAAAAATATTCTAATTACAATCGTTTCTGTGATACAGATATTATAAAATCTGACAAAATGTCTAAAACAATAGTAACTTCTGCTTATTACACTACTCGAATTGACATGCTGTGTACTTCCGGAGTTAAACATGAGGATTAGATATAAAATTCTCTGGATCTTCTTATGTTCATGTTTGTTTTTCATTTATCTTCATGCATCCTGAGAAGCCTCTTTTGTAACTAAGTGCATGAGAGATACTCTAGAGGTTTGGAAAACTCATCAACAAGGGCCTCGCTTCTTGTTTTAGACAGATTATTAGCAGGTGAGGGAATGAATAAAGGAGAAAACTTGAACACAAATTCCTCCTGAACCGGGGTTTCTCAAACTTAAATCTTCAAAGCTGGTAGAAGCTGCAGGATTCTGATGCTGTTGAAAGAGCTTTCGTTGACTAACGACAGACTGTAGACTTACTGTACTCTGGTTGGCAACTAGGTTAATGAGTTATGACAGGTAGAGTTGTTCCGTTACTGATCTAGGATTGTGTTGATAATACTGACTTTGGGGTCAGTATAGAAGCGTAGTGTAGTTCCCTAAATCTTGGTGCTCTCAGTGGTAAATACACTCACCTGCCACTTGATTAGGTATACGTTGCTAGTTTTGAATTGGATCCTTTTGTCTTCAGCCTTAACTCTTTGTGGTGTATCTTTAGCAAGATGCTTAAAACATTCATCAGGGATTTTGTTTCATATTGACATGATGGCATCATGCAGCTAATCTCATGCTCCACCACATCCCAAACATACTCCATTGTTGATCTTCTATTTTGATCAGAATACTTGGTTGCACCAGAATACTTAGACTAGCTCGTCTGTCACAAATAACCCTGCTCATGTACATTCAGAGTCTCACCTTTCCTCCCCCTTTTGATTCCCCTACATGCCTAAATGTACGGCATTGCTGCCATTGGCTGATTAAATATTTACTTTAATAATTTCTTGAATCGGTGTACCTAGTAAAGTGGCTGATGAATGTATAAAAAGGGCTTTGACATAATAGGGACAACATCACATTCATGAAGTTCCTAACAAGGAACTAAAGTATATCAATGGTTTTGGGGTATTGTGCATTTTATTACTACTAATCATTTGTACTAATTTAAAAATACATGAAGCATGCTTTTTAGAAAGTACTTCATTACCACTTTCAGTATTACCAGAAATAGTTTTTTAATTACTGCTATTATTTTATATGAATACTGGTTTTAATATCATGGTAAGTATTATAGACATTGACTTTTGAACAGACATTATCTGATCAAATGAATCTGGAGACACGACATTATGAAGCATATTTTAGTAGACACATACTGAGTGTGAAATTTCCACAAGACAAGTTAATAGAAACATTATGTTGTAATTGTGTATGGTTAATGAGATAATTAATCATGAGACAGGAGGGGAGGAGTTGAGTTTCTGAAGAGGTTAAACAGAGTCAGAGAATAAGGCGGTATTTATTGGGAAGGAATCAAATAAAAGTACAAAGCCCCGTCTGAATATGAACTGGTTGTATATGTGACTTGCAAACACAATTTAATTAGCTGAAAACAAGTTGTGAAATTTATTCTGACATAACTCCAATAACACATTTACCTGATCATCAGGCTCGACTTCCGATCCATTCTTCAGCCATGACACCTGAGGTTTGGGGTCTCCACACACTGTACATGTTAAACTCAAAGTCTACAGAAAGCATAAAAAATACCTATTAGCAAAATGAAACCGAAAGCATGCAGTTTCATACACTTACACGCCTACCTTCTTTTCCATAATGGTGACCACATCAGGCAGTCCTCCCACCACCTTACCACGGTCTAAAACAAACAGTTGTTAACATTCTAGGTTATTCCTATTGCTTATTATATTAAGCTATTATATAAAGGAGAACAGGAAGATAAACTTACTCTTCTCAGCGTATGCCTCGGCCCTGAAAAATCAAAGCAGTTTTGTATTATTATACAAATTCTATCACTAGCAAATCTTTATTTAGTTCAAGTTTTACTTTAGCCAAGTCATTTCTGGTTAGCTTTCATTACCTGGCTCTGACCACACATCATTTTTTCTTTGTTTTTTTCCTTTTCCTTTCGGTTAACTAACAGTGGTCAGATGGTGTGCCACAAGGTGCTTTAGATTTACAGCCAAACCTCCTTTTAATATTGTTTACTTCAGGAGTTTCATGTATATTTCCTGGGGAAAAATGATATTGTTATGTGAGGGCTGTTGAAGCAGCATGGCAGGACCAGAGGTCAGCCACAGGACCAGATGGTTGGGGAAACTCTGCTCTCCTCTTGGCAAGTTGATGCTCAATCAAAAGGGTAACAGCGTGTCACTTGTTTCAATGTGTTTGTAAAGTCTTGTGCTTAAATGTCTCTCTTTGAATGTTAATTAGAAAAGGGATTTGGATGGTTTCCACACTGCATGCAGTGTTTAGTGTTTGCAGTCTCAATCCCTTTCCTAAAAGGATTTGCAAAATGTGTGTGTGGGTGTGGGGTTTGCTTTGGCCCAATTAGCCGACAGACCCCAAAGGATCTCTGCTACCTGACTGCTTCTATTTTTAACCAAGATTTTTATCTCAAATTATAATGCGCTGGACTCTTTCCAGACAGCCAGCCTTGGAGTTTTTAAATTTGCTCAACTTAAAGATGCAGGGTAATTTTTCCTAATGCTGTATTGATCATTTATGCAACTCGAGTTGCAGTGATTTAACAAGACTTTTCAAAACTGTAGCTGTAGGTGAAAGTTTTACACCTCTTGGAGCTCTTTAGATTCTGCTCATGCAATAGTGCCAAGGAAGCGTCTGATTCAATTTGCAGCATGCTACATTCATGCAGCAGTGATTTAAAGCATACACACTGTTTCTTCAGTCACAGAAAAAGGAGAATAAGTCATCAAATAATATAGTGACCTAATCTGAAAATCATAACTTTACTCTCGGATTAAATCCTGAGTCAGACTTCCACAGTAGACCTTTGAAAAAAGTGCACAGGTCCTTACAGGGCAAAGCACAATTAAACAACTAAAATATTCAAAACAAGCAGTTAGTTTTAGTGTAGCAGTTTTGAGTTAGGAGTGCACTGATATTTTAAAGTGACAAGTCTAATCAATGCATGGATCTACACTGATTAACACTGAGCATATAGTGGTTACAAAGGCTCATACAATCCTTCTGCAGTGTCTCAAATGATCTGAAGGCTTTGCACTGTTTGAAATGTGGAGAAACAAATGTTAATGAAATTTCCAATAGATGTTTTACTATTCAAATACAATCAGAACGAGAGAGTCGAATATACGTGTATTTATAGAAAACCTCATTCTTTACATTATTTGAAGCAGGAAAACAAGACTATTGTTTTCTGTATATGAACACAGTGTAGCCTGGGAAATCATTACTTTGAACTATTAGATGTCAAACTCACAGTTATGAAGCAAATGTGAAGGAAGCAGTGATTCATCATTAGGCGAGCCAGTCTGACACATAAAGGCACAAGATTAAAAAAAAGAAAACAGCTTTGAGAATATAGTCTTACTTTAGTTTCTGGAACTCTGCAAAGGCTTTCTCATATACTGTTAAACACAAAAACAGAAAACAGTCACTGTCACAGCACATGCCAGTTTACTTTCCTTTAAATTTAGACACACCTAGAACAAAAATAGTCTTTATAATATCAAAACAGAATCTTTCCCTTTTCCTGCTAATCAACATGGTAACATTTTTTTAAAGAAAATAATAGTTTTAAAATGATGGTAATAAAGTAAACACAGGAGGAATGCACCTTTCAGTTATAACACTCAGTTAATTTGAGAAGTTTTAATGGAGATTTTTTCCATACAGTGCTGTGCAAAAGTTTTGAGCCGCAGTAATTAGGCACGTAAAGGTACAATTTAAAAATGGTTCTTTGCTAATTTTTCTGTTATGTGTAGATACAACACTGCTTCAACCGTTGAGTTGGGGGCCATTTTTATGCTTGAATGATACATAGGTCAGTGTTGGGTGGTTTAAACCAAAAAAAACATTCCTCTATAATTAGCCAGAAAATGAGTGAAAAGCAGCTGATGTCCAAAGAAAAACTTTTCAAGGCTTTCTGTCTTTCAAACGATTAAGGAAATAAAGAGTAGCTCAAGACTTTTGCATTGTTGTGTATGTAGTCCGATCCACACTAAAATGTATGTAACTCACAAGCAGCCAAGCTGTCCAAACATTGAATTCTTTTTAAAAGTGAAAACTGGAGACTTTCATACTCAAAGACTAGCTGAAGTATAACCAGAGAGACTACACGCTGAAAGACAGCCATACAAAATAGTGACTGTGTTATTTTCTACCCTCTTTTTACAGCGTTATCGATAAAAGCAGGAATTGACTCTGGAGGGAAGGAAATAAGAGAGGAAAAGTACTGAAAGTACTGACCATCACCGCTGAGGTCCAGTGTGCGTTTATGTGAGTTCTCAGGATCAGTGATCACGATGGAGTACTTGCCCTTGTCCTTCTCCACTGGTTCAACTACCTGTAAATCAATCAGCGAAAAAATGATCAGCCACATGACGGCAGAGGCATCAACTCAGTGTCTTGGTATTTATTTCTGCTTTGCGTGTTTTGAGCTATGATTTAAAATGAGATTAATTTAACAGGTAGGCTAATTACAATTATAAAGCTTTCTGACAAAACGATCGGAAGACACGCTACTTAATCAACTTTAATGAATTTTAAACCATTTTTTTTCATTAGCTTTCCCTTGTGATTATCCCTTTAATTTATCTCAAAGTTTCCTCGTCTCTGCAAAGACACTTTGAGGACTTTTACAAGCAACACAGACGAGCAGCAGCACCAATGTCTGAGGTGCTTTACTGTCATAAAGTTACTGATGTGTGAGATTCCTCCGAAGCATATACTGTTCAGCTTTGTATAAAAGATGATAATACCTCCATTGTTGCCATAGTCGGGGTTCCACCAATCACAATCTTGTCAGTGTGGGAGAGTTTAGTCTCACTGAGGAGAAGAAAAGAGAGGTTAGTGTGTGTGTTTGTGTGGTGGGGGTTTCTTTTTGAGCGAGTGAGGTAAATGAAAATCATATTTACATGCCTCGCTAATGTCATGCCGAACTCTTACTCTTACACAAACCCACAGAAAAGACAGTGAGATGTTTTAAAATAAAAGCTTCATAATTTTTATTCAGTTTTACTTCATTGTTCTGTCCACTTGTTTTTCTTTCATGAACCCATTTTTTAATATTTTATAATCTCTGGAGTGAACTGCAGTGGTTTTAAGTGCAGAAAAGCCTTCCTTCTTTATAGAAAATAATAGCTGTGTGATTTCTGTCACAAAACGGGGCAATTTTACTGCAATAACAGGGATAATGAAACCACTTGCCAATAGCCCATCAGAAGTTTTATTATGCGGCTTATTGTTTTTCCCACTCGCGGCAGTTTAACTTGAGGGAAAACCAGAATAATGCGTTTGCGGTCAGCATGTTTATAGGTGGACTTAAAAGAATACTCTAGTAAAACAACTACCAGGGCTACAAATACTGGAGTTATGCGTATTTTCTTCCTCCGTTCCTTATCTTCATCTTCGTACTCCAACTATTTGGTATTATGTTTGTATTTGTGAGGCGATGTTAATTCTGTGTTTAATCTGATTCCTTACCCGTGATACCAGGTGATGTTCATCTCTGAGGTGTAATACTTCATGTGACACTGCAGCTGAATGCCTGTTGCTGTGCAGTTTATCACAAGCTCTGCTGCACTGGCTCCTGGAGGAGGTAATGGAGGCGATGGAGGTTGTGAGGACCATGTTTGAAATCAAAGTAAAATACATGTTTTCCTCCAGCTGCTGGACTCTGTGACCTCACTATGCTGTGAAAGCTACTGCATGCAGAGATTAATTAATTGAATAAAAAACAAACTTCCATTTTCAGCCATTTGTAGGATCTATTTTGAAATTCCCTTTTGTCCAGCTTGTAGAGGAAAATTCTGCTAATGAAGCAAAGAGCAGATTGTTTATATCCTGGCACTCAGTAAAACACTTCAACCATGACAGGATTTATTAACTTTTTTTTTTAAGCCGTTATACCTAAAAGGGTATTTTATACTCCTCAATGTCTGTGTCGGATTTTCCTCACTGCACATTACAAGCGGGCAAGTGTGTCATCCACCTGGTCACATCACCATGGTTTCCCATTATCACAGTAATGAACCCTCTTCTCCTCTGCAACCACTGCTGTAACAGTTGCTGCAGAGCTGTCAAGTGACTGTCTCTTAAAATAGGAGTAAGATGCTCCTCCACACTGTCACTGTGACAGCGCAGTGGAATTTTAAAGTGATTTCACCACACGATGGCACGATGGCCAAATGCTTCCAGCATGACAACTTCTGCCACACGCTGATAAGTGCGTGTGTGTATGTAGCAGAGGGTTTTTAAAACAAGACCCACATCAGCCTGATGATGGATCTACCAAATCTCTTATCACTGGGGTTTGATGGTGCCATGTTAAATTTAGATAATTTGAACTGGATCCCTACAGTGGGTAGAGGGTGGTGCTGGTGGTGTGTCGTACCGTTTTTAACATGGATGTCTCTTTATGAGATTATTGGTGTGTGTGTGTGTCTGTGTGCAGAATGCAGCGACTTACCAGCCAGTTGGCTGAGCTTGTTTATGGCATCGTCAAAGACTAGAAGAAAGGCAGAGGAACATGGGGTCAGAGACAGAGCCAAGAGGATGGAAAGGCATGATGCTGCTCTCTGGTGGCTGCATTCAGAGCTCAGTAAGGAAGGTTTAATGAAAACATGGGAATCTGTTACTCTATGGTTTCCCAACCCAACATAGTGAAACAGTGCAAATACCTGCATTTGTTTTGTGAAGTACACTTTCAGCAGATTGTTTCTTGGCATACTTGTTCATGTGAAGCTCAGTCTTAGTTAATTCATATATAAACATCTTCACATATCAAACATATTAAACTTAGGCACGTCAACATCTGTGAGAAATTTGAGAAAGTGGGGTTTTTTGGGTTTTGTGTTATTCTGGGAAGCTATTATACCTATTGAATCAGTTGTTTTACTCACAGTTGACCAAGTCTCCAGTTTTAAGTGTTCTGGGTCTGTTACCAGATAATATCAGACCAAGTGAAATGAAGAGGTTATGGGTCCCACTGGCTATGACATCAGGATGTAAATCAATATTAACGCATTGGAAATCAAGCAATCTGAGCTATTTTGGATAGCAGATCAAACTGCATGCAAAATAGTTACATACAAACACGTAGAATAAAAAAGGGAGACGAGATATTTTTGGAGGGGAGCTGCCTTTTGGAATTGACAAAAAATGTTTCTGACTAATTTTAACAGTTTTGGCACCAATCATAATGTATGAATCATTCAAGATGTTATTTGTAGACCGAGGCTTTTTTATTATTTCCTTTTTCTTGTGTTGTGGTTTTGTTTAGAAAAAAAATAGGAACAATCGTTTTTCAGTATGGTAATATATCTGCTTTGTATCCTGCTGCTTTTGAGAAAAAATCAATGAAAAAAAAAAATAGTTTATAACATTACACATTTTTTCCCCATGTCAAGCCTTTTATTTATTCTTTTTATAAGAATAATACACTGTAGGTAAACAATTATACTTGCTCAGTAAGACATCAAGCTAACTATCCAGACAGTGAACTTGTCATTTTTATTAAGTGGTAAGATGAACTGCAAAAATAGAGAACATGTTTACCTTTTCCAGAAATGTTTATTTGGCTCATATCTTTTCCTCTGTCATCACTGATGGTGGCTTTGTAAATTCCTGCTGTCTTCAGTGAAAACTGGAGAAGAAACAGTGCAACATAGGGAATGCAGATTTGTCAATTTTGAACACACCATGAAGACAGCGTTGGAAAAAACAAAACAAAAAAAACATAGTCTTTAGTGCCACAGTGTGCTCTTACCTCTCTAATTGTCAGTTTACAGACTCCTGATCCCAGGTCAGGTTTTACATCCGGGATGATCTCCGTGTCTTCTCTAAACCAGTGAAACACAGATTCCTTCTTCAAGTTAGCAACCTGTTAAAATCAATTAAAATTGCGTATTATTATTTTCGAAAAACAGGAAGTGAAGTTTTATCACACACACACTTTATATTTTATAAAATTCATCGAACAATGCAAATCCAGATGACCAGTGATGTGCTGTATATAAAGTCTTGTTTATGTGGTAGTTTAGGAAGATCAAGAGATGTCGACGAGGCTTTTGAAAGACAAAGGAAGCAAATGCCTGCAGCAAACGGATTAAAGTGAAAAACAAATCTCTTAAATGTTAATGCATTGGTGCTTTTCTGAATATAAAAATAATACTAATCGGAGAAAATGGTAAAACACAGTTTAATGCTTGGCTGTTTAGTTAATGAACTAAATGGTAAGAGTGCATTAGCATTTGAAGAAGGGGTTATTTAAAATGCCTGTTTGCTGCAGGACAAGTACACTTATTCTTGCCTACAAAAGTCAACAAGTCAACCAGAGGTTCCCAAATGTTAGCACATAACTGTACCTCATCGACTTTTTGCAGTAATTCCCAAAAAAACTTGAGGCTGTTTATATTTTTCTGCAACATATTATACCCTAAATGATCCCAATTGGAAGTAGAGCATTTTTCTGAAAACTGGTTGATGTTTAAGCTTGCTCTGTTTTGATACTCAACAGTCAAATAATGAATGCTTAAATGGTAAATGGCCTGTATTTGTATAGCGCTTTAC